GTAAATGGAGTAATTCTTGACCACCCGAGCTACGGTCTTCCATGGATTAGTAGATGGCGCCAAACAAACAAGTGATGATCTTAAATTTTCACCCACTCCTCCATCACGAGCACTTATTGGTTCGAAATATTTTGCCATCATGACTCTTAACTTATTCCTGGCATGAAATTCAAAATCGTCTGGTATAATAAAATCAGTCTCACTAACAGGAATTAAAGAATAAGAGTCAGGAAAATATTGGTCAAGGAATGGAGGAGATGTCACCGCATTTGGAGATTGTTCACTGGATTCATTCACTTGAACCATTTGATGTTAGGGTCTCAATTTTTGCTCTTCAACTTTCTTTTCAACTGCATCTTTAGATTTTTCTTCTTGAGACTCTTGCAGTACCATGTCATTTGTCAGAATAATTGCACTCTCATCTTCCTCATGGTCGATAATAGTCGGTGAGGGCAATTCTTCATAAACTGGAGAAATCAATTTGCTCGTTTTAAATGCCCATTCACGCCTTGCTTCTTTCATCTCTTTACTCATCCTTTGTGTCTCCTGTTGAAGTTGATGTACCTCCTGTTGAATTTGATATGTGTTAGTAGCTATTAATTCAACTATTTCTTCAAGAGACATACCTGACATGGATGACGGTTCTTGAGACTCATACTGCTGAAAATTCATTGGCTGCTGAAAATTCATTGGCCCTGTTGTATAATCATAACTGGAGTTATCCCACCATCCTTGATCATACCCGTTTGGATTAGAGTTATACCACGTTTGAGACCAGGGTGAAAAATCTCCATAATTATTGATTGGGACATTCAGATTATCTTGATATTCGGGGCACATACTGGTTGAATGATCCCTGGCATAACAAATTTTACAGGTTGCAGCAGCCATTCTTTCTCTAATAGAGTTTAGTGTCTCTGCATATGCAAACTTAGCAAAAAAACTAGTCTCATCACCTTCCCCGGAAACAAAATCCAGTCTATCACCAAAATATGGAGTGTTAGAAACCATAAACTATATAAAAAAAATAAGAGAAAAATAAAAAAATAAATAAAAACAAGATGAACTCAAAAAGAAACAAATTAATCTGACACCAGTCCCCGGCAACGGCGCCAAAAATTGACAGGTGCCGAACCTGTTCAATAATAAATATCTACTCGAGAAAAATACAGATTTTGTATATAGCGGTGAGTAGGGTCGAATCCACAGGGATTGGGGATAATTCGTTTCTTCTAGAATCCAAGGTATGGGGGGTTTTGGATTAAATGCTAACTAGATAAATTAACTACAGAAAATAATTGATTAAGAGGAATAATTAAGGGAAAACTCTAGCCAAGGGTATACTTCAGAAATGGTTCATGCACTGATCATTGATACAGAAATAATTCCAACATTTAGTAATAGATTAGTTATAGTTGTCATGCACGCGATAAACAACCAACCCTTCCTTAATTTCTCGATAGCTAAGGTACGACCGTTAGCTATTTCTCTAACCCAAAAACAACCCTAGGTACGACCGTAGGATTTAATTTTTAGATTGCATTAATAATTAGAAAGGCCCAATCCTAACCAACAAACACGCTACGAGGGTTTGTTTAAGCTAGATCATATGCTCCCCTGACATAAACCCAATTACGCCAGTTGCTACTGAGGTAGAGATAACGAACAATTACGGATTCAATTACCCCTATTTAGCAAAAATAGCCTATATGAATAATTAATTATTGCGCACTAATCAATCATACACAAGGCCATAGCAATTAAAATCAAGGAACATATAAATACCAATAAATGAAGAAAATAATTAAAACAGATTCGATCTCACAGTAATTGTCGAACCAAATCGTCAGTTGTCCCCTTGACTAGAAAAACTTAGTCACGCCTCGTGAGAAAATCTTCCCGTTGGGGAATATTGTCGAATACCTGGCGTGTGTCAGAGGCCAGTCAAAAGAAAGAAAACTAGAACTAAACTAAAAAACTAAAACTAGAGATGTCTTCTTTCCCTACGTTATCCCTATTTAAACAACAAAAGAAAGATAGGCTAAAGCTATCTAGGTGGTCCCCACACATGTGGACAAAACCTCCAAAGTACTTCTTGCTTCAAGTCTCTTACGTAGCTTTCTTTGAAGAGCCCAAATGACTTATAGCTTTGTGGTCCCCACCAATCCAAGGGCCCAAGGATTGAAACCCTTAGAAGTCTCCATATTCTCCATAAAATCTCTTTTTTTTGGTAGTTTTTTGTTTCATTCCTGAAATTAAGTTCAGATACCAAATATGAGTAGATATCAGTAATTAACACAATATTTATCAGGGATAAAAGGGGAAATTAATAATAAAATTACTAACAAATAATGCTCTATCAATCATCCATTGTATGACTTCCATCCAACAATTTCCCCAAAGTCTCACAAGTTAATCTTGAAAATAGACTTACACAGAAAAAAACAACACCAAATAATGTTAGTCTTATCAAATTTTCTTGTTCCAAACTTGAATATAATTTCTAAATCAGAAAAATAAACAATAAAAGAGAATGGATCTAAGAAATGTAATGGCATTTGGAGGCATGCTTGTGATAAGAAAGACCAAGTGAGCAATTCTATGGTCCCTCTAAAGAACCATTCCCTCAATTTATATTTTTCTTTAAAAATGATAGTAATTTATATTTTAAATTATTTAAATTGTTACAATTAATAGTCAAAATCTCTGATTTTTACCAGCCAACGATAAAACTCTAACGTACATTTGTGAATTAATATATGTCCACTAATATGAAACATGTCCCAAAAACATTCATAATAAAGGGGGATACTATGGCAAAGAACCTATCATCCCCAAGCAAAGCCGGAAAGAAGGAAAAATAGAAAAGCCCCCTGTATTTGCCCAAGAAAATGCTGCTAATCTCATAATCTCATTGGTACAATAGTCTTACTAGTAGTTGATTTGTTCACTAAAAGAAATACTCTTTGGAGGGCATCACAATTTCAGTGGTCTGGCATAGACTTCAATTAAATCAATCATCCTTTGAACAACATTTGAGCAATTAAAACAGAATTATCAGTTCGTAAAACCGAATAGAGACACTTACCAAAAGGAAAACGTCAACAACTTCAGCATGCAAGATCATTGCCACTCCAAAACGTTTAAAAAAAAACAGAAAATACTGATGAATAATTGCATATTCTTATCCTACGACCCTACAAGTGAGAACAAATTTAACATATAGAAATCCAACCATATTTCAGCAAATTATCCAAAACACAGCTATTTTGTTGGACAGTTTGTCTTCAAAGAGAAGTGGAAAGAAACGATAGTTTGTCCTATGATTGCATACGAGTCGAGTCACTCGCGAGCAGTTTGAGTTAAAAACTCGATTCAAGTTCGAATTAATCAAATCAGGCTCGAATTCGAATTACAAAATACTCAACTTGTTAGCTCACGAGCCGATTCGATTTTATATATATATATATTATTTTAATAGTAAAATTACATATATATTTGTAATATTTTATTATTTATTAAAAAATTACTATTTTATTCATTTTTAAAAATATAAAATGAATAATTTTTTATCATTTTAAACTGGAACGCGAACTCGACTTGACTCGAATTTCAGATTGAGCTCAAGTTTTACATTGAGAACTCATCGAGTTCGAATTCAAATTTGATAAAATTAAGTCTATACTCGATTCGACTAGATCAAAACTCGACTTGATTCGATTCATTTGCAATCCTAATTTATTCTCCTACTAATAATTCCATTGGTTGAGAGGATGTTCTTCAAGCATTTCCATACGGAGTGCTTTATCTAGCGGGTGTTGCCACTCTTGGTTGACTTCTCCAAATTCAGTGGGTCTAGAAGTGGTTTAGTCTTTGCAGATTCTCAGTGACTAGGAATGGCAACGGGACGGGTTTAGGGCAGGGGAGGTTGCTGCCTACTACTTCCCCCAGCCCCACCTACCCCCATCCTCTGCTCCTTTCACCTCGCCCTACTTCCCCCGCCCCCCGTCTCGCTACCTACGACTTCCCCCTGCCCCCAGCCCGCCCCCATCCCCCGCTCCCTTTGCCTTGCCCCGCTTCCTCGCGGGGGAACTTGTAGGGTTAATAAAAATTTGTAATATGATTTTAGTGTAGTCAAATTTTAACAAATAATTAAGTCTTAAAATATCAACACATCATCAAATTATTATTCATTGTAATTTCACAATTGAAATCCATAGAAACATTATTTGAATACAATCCAACATGATGAAACAAATACAACTAAAGTAGTCAAGTTTTCATTTTTGAAATAAATACAATCACTAAGTCATTATTATATATTTTTTTTGAGAAAAAAAGTGTTATTATGTTAAGTGTAATTAGGAATTTAGTATAAATGTATTAATAAATTTAGTATAACTAATTAATAATTTTTATTAGTAGACATGTATACTTATTAGTATAATTGATAATGTCAATTATATTACATATACTAATATACATTATATATTATTTATAACTAATAATATCATTATTATAAGTTTGTAACTAATTAAATTAAATATTATATATACATATCTATATAAATATATATATTTAAACGGATCGGCGGGCTGGGGGATGGGGCTGGGGTATAATCCCCTGCCCCCGCCCCGCCCCGTTTCTTAAAGGGGAGAAAAAATTCCACCCCGCCCCATTAGTCCCCTGCAGGCACCCGCCCTAACTGCCATTCCTATCAATGACTTAGGTAAATCTATGTCCTTTTCCACGGTGTAAGAGCAGGGAATAAGTGTAGGTATAAATTACTGACATTTGATGCAAAAAAAATTTGTGAAGTGCTTTATCTTGTGCTTGATATTAAGCCCCACCAATGCTTCATTTGTGCTTGTTTGGATAGCGGATTATTTATAGAAATTTATTTGATTACATAATTAACATATTTTTTAATTATTTTTTCATCTCGCATACATCATATAAAAAATTTATTGCAAATTTTTTTTTCAAAAAATTATCCAAAATAATCCAGCATCTCCGCGTTCATGTGCTTATCCCAAGTCGAACACGCACTGTGTTCGACTTCCTTCCTTCCTTTTTGCCAACCGGCAGCCAGATTTGACAGTATACAACCCTGAATTGTTTGCACGCCAGTAGAACTTGTCTGGACCTTCAGGAGGCTAAGTGGAATCTGTTGGCTTTGTTTGCACTATCAAAATTCAAAATCCATTCAAGCTCTTAGCTCTGTCACTTTTCTCAACTCAAATGGAGTCAGTAATTCAATTGCACAGTCACAACCTCCTCAAACTCCTCCTCTTCCTCACCATCCTCCACCATCTACAACACTCAACCACCTCTCTCGATCTCCTTCCCAAAGAAGCACTGCCGACCAATTCTGGATACCTCGAAGTCAACTCAACAACTGGTTCAGCCCTTTTCTACACATATTACGAGGCACAAGAGCCGGCCACACCCCTCTGTCAAACCCCACTTCTCATCTGGCTCCAAGGTGGGCCTGGATGCTCCTCCATGCTTGGAAACTTCTATGAACTAGGCCCCTGGCTGGTTTCGTCTAATGTTTCAGTTAAGCCTAATCCAGGGGCCTGGAACAGGATATTTGGTCTCCTTTTTATTGATAATCCAATTGGAACTGGATTCAGCATTACCGCTTCGCCTCAAGAAATCCCAAGAAATCAGCATGATGTCGCGAAACATCTTTTCATTGCAATCAAGAAGTTTATTAAGCTAGATGATTTGTTTAAAACGAGGCCAATTTATGTTGCTGGGGAAAGTTATGCTGGAAAATACGTTCCAGCACTTGGCCACTACATATTGACAAAGAATGCTATGTTGCCAGTTTCTAATAGGGTCAATTTAGCCGGTGTAGCTATAGGGAATGGGATAACTGATCCTGCAACACAAACGACCACACATGCTTTGAATGCTTACTATTCTGGATTCATTAATGATAAGCAGAAGGAAGTCTTGGAGAATCTTCAAAAGGAGGCTGTTGAATTGGTACGAATTGGGAACTGGACTGGTGCTGCTGATGCGAGGCATATAGTGTTCAAAACATTGCTAGACATGACTGGCTTGTCAACTATGTATGATTTTAGAAGGTTAGTTCCATATCAAGATTATTTAGTGGCTGAGTTTTTAACAAATTCAGAGGTAAAAAAGGCGTTAGGGGCTAAGGAAGATATTGTGTTCAAAGATTGTAGCGCAGTTGTGGCAGAGGCACTGAATGAAGATCACATGAAGAGTGTGAGGTATATGGTTGACTACTTAGTTCAGGAAACTAAGGTTTTACTGTACCAGGGCCAGTGTGATATGCTGGATAATGTGGTGTCGAATGAGGCTTGGGTGAAGAAACTGAAGTGGGAAAAAATAAGAGAGTTCTTGGAGGCAGAAAAGAAAGTTTGGAGAGTGAATGAGACTTTAGCAGGTTCTGTGCAGAAGTATGAGAATTTGAGTCATGTTGTGGTGTTGAATGCTGGACACCTTGTGCCTGCTGATCAGCCTTTGAATTCTCAAGCAATGATAGAAGACTGGGTTTTGGACAGGGGATTGTTTGCCAATTAGCAAACAAAATGCAAACCAAATATCACTTTGTTGTGTCATATTTTATTTACTTTGTTGTGTGCTGCAATATCTGTCCTAGTAATTCAGCTCCAGTATTTACACTTGAAGCCAAGAACTTTGTCATCTCGGCTGATGAATTAGCAGTTTCAGTAGCCATCACAAATTAGTTATTACTATCTTTGTTCTTAGGCACAGCCTAATGAACCGATACTCATTAAGTTACTAATGAGTTCAAATGAATATATGCTGCTTTTTGGAAACAACCAATGGCAATAGGCGCCAGTTCAACTCTGTTCAACTGTTTGCAGTAGAATCTTGCTGAGCTTGGAGCTTTCAACTCCTTCAAAAATATGCAATTGCTTTTCTTGAATTTTCTTCTCCATGACCGATTCAACTACTTTCTGCATGTAGATTTGTCTCATGCCCAATGAATTGCCTCAGCTCACCAAGAAACACACACTATCAGCTGGTTTCTTGAGAAGCAATTGGTTTCATTTGTCAATACATTGCCGAAACGGTCAATCAGAAGTTAATCTTGAAAATAAACTTACACAGCAAAAACAACACAAATAACGTTAGTCTTATTAAAATTTCTCGTTCCAAACTTGAATATAATTTCTAAATCAGGAAAATAAACAATAAAAGAGAATGGATCTAAGAAATGTAATGGCATTTGGAGGCAGGCTTGTGATAAAAAAGACCGAGTGAGGAACGATGAGAAGAAAGTAAAATAAATTTGGCCCAAAAAGAGACCAAAAGAATTCTTACTAACTTCTAACAGATGCCCACTTGAAGCAAACAAACCCGTACTATGATGCCATAATAGTTTGTTGTATAGGGCATGGAGTTGCAGGGCAACCTGCAGAGTACCTGCAGGGTATTTCAGAGCCATTAGTAGAAGAACTCTCCTCTTATTTGCATCCAGCCCTTTATTGCATGATCAATTGGAGAAAAGAAGAAAAAGGCAAATTAGGGAGGAGAAGGAAAGGAGAGGTGATGGTAGCGGAAAAGCTGCAAATTGTAAATGTCTCCATTTTGCTTCTAGGGTTTCTTGGCTTCCTTCAGGAAGAGGCGACTGCCTCTGGCCTTCTGAAACTGGGTATATATAGGTCTTGTAAAAGCCCAAACAGGAAAGATATTAGTAGATGAAAATGCTAGGAAATACATTTGTACGTGGTGTTCCATGAGAATCATTCTATACTACAAATTAAAAAAAAAAAATTCACCTTCCTGATTTTAGCAATTCTTTTGTTTGTATCTTCCAAATAAGAATGTAGTGATTTTTATCACTTTGTATAGGTGGACTCGTACCATAATAATTCACTTTTAAGCTTGCAGAAGCAAAATTTTTGTCATATAATTGAATTGTAATTATAGAGTAGCGGAAGAATCAAACTGTTATTTTCTTTACGGTTAATTCTATTTCAGTGTTATTGGTTGATTTTGGTTTAATTGACCGAAAACTCATGCAACGCGTTAAGAGATATTTTCCTTAAAGAGCATATTTATCTGACTTTTCTTTCTTTTATCTTAGATTATTTAAATTATATGCATTTTGATCTTAAATAAATTACTAACTAATACTCACAACATCACTTTAGTTAAATTTGAAATTCGAGTTTATCACGTCCTCACATTGAACATTAATTGATTAACAATCATGATATAAATTGATGAATAAGGAGATTCTATTTTCCATGTCGTGTTGATATTTAAATTAATTTATGTACCCAAAAATATTTATAATTAGGAAAATTCGCTGGTATATAGTGCAAAGAATCTGTATTCCCTAAGAAAAGCCAACCAGAAAGAAAAAGCAAAAGAAAATAAACTGAAAAAACGTATCTTGCCCAAGAAAAGCCCTCTAACCCAAAAAAAAAAGGGAAAATCATCCAAAACGTCCCTCATATTTTATAAAATAACTTTTTTCGTCCCTTACTTTTAAAAGTGTAATTTTATATCCCTTACATATTCATATCGGACAAATTTAGTCCCTAACTAGGTTTCCGATCATTTTTTGGCCGCAATCCATCATGTGCAAGGCACATGATCATTTTTTAAGGGTAAATTTGTCAAATTATATTTTACATAATCTAATCTATAGTCCTCCACATTTTATAAAATAAATGTTTTCATCCCTTACATTTTATAAAATAATTTTTTTCATCCCTCACATTTCACAAAATGAATTTCTCCATCCCTCACATTTCAAAAAATGAATTTTTCATTTCTCACTAATTATGTGTGTGAATACATTTTTTAAAACACATGTATATGCCTATTTGATTTTGCTTAATAATAATAGCATAAACACATGTATGTAATTGGACCCAACTTGTGGGCTATCTTCTCTTTTTGTATGATTATGACTAATATTTACCAATAGAACCTTAATTTGCATATTCTTATTGTATTTTGACCAAAAATAGCTTTATTGGCCAACTTGACAATGAATGCAAGATTATTTACTAGCTAATACCAGATGAAATCAAATGATCACGTATAATATATGGTATTCGTATTGTTAAGTGAAATCAAATAGACACATACATATATTTATGCTATTCGTATTATTAAACAAAATCAAATAGACATATACATGTGTTTAAACAAAATGTATTCAAACACATTTTTTTTTAGGGTTTTCCTCACATACATAATTAGTGAGGGATGGAAATATTCATTTTTTGAAATGTGAGGGATGGAGAAATTCATTTTATGAAATGTGAGGGATGAAAAAAATCATTTTATAAAATGTGAGGGACGAAAAATTTGTTTTATAAAATGTGGAGGACTATAGATCAGATTATGTAAAATATAATTTAACAAATTTACCCTTAAAAAATGATCACGTGCCTTGCACGTGATGGATTCCGGTCAAAAAATGATCGGAAACCTAATTAGGGACTAAATTTGTCCGATGTGAATATGTAAGGGACATAAAATTATACTTTTAAAAGTGAGGGACGAAAAAAGTTATTTTACAAAATGTGAGGGAGGTTTTGAACCATTTTCCCAAAAAAAAAAGAAGAGCAAGATGGAGGAAAAAAAAAAGATAAAGGTGTTTAAGTGAGGACTGATGGCGGATTTTGGCGTTTGCAAATTGTACCTTTTGGATTCCCCAGTAAACAATCCTTAAATCCTGACAAGAAAAGAGGGGATAAAAGGAAGTATCCGATGTAGACAGCTATATATAACAGAAATAGCTTCTTCTGCTCCAAATTATCAAACAGTCCATGGTGAGTTCACTCACAGGCACATTTCTGCTATTACCTGCAGGTAGTTAATTTAATATCAAAGGCATAAGTAGCGTCTTCTTATCTGGTAGCTGTTCAAAGTTCAAAGCTTTAACTCAGAAGAGTCCATTACGTGCTTCATGGGTGAAAAATTCCGTATTTTGGATTGTTTTTGTGCTTTGAATGTGGAAGATAGTTTCTTTTATCATGGTGAATTGAACCCTTTTGGCTTTGGATATATAGTCTCTGTTGTCTGAGTTCTTTGAAAGTGAGTGTCTTTTTGCTTAATGCCTAGGAGGTTCCAGTTTTTGATGAAATATTCAGCTTAAATTTGAGAATTATGTGGAGCTTAGAGCTTAAGATTTGATTCGGTATCTTCAATTGTAATGAGATTCCTTTCACCATTCTTGTTTGCCCTTTTACAAAGAAAAAAGAATTGACCGTTTTGCAAATTCGTATATAGTAAGGACCCTGCTCTAGAACTGAATAACTGGCTTCTCAATTACAGTAAGCTGGTTGATCAATTGCCCAAGATATACTTAGTTTCCGTGTGGGCTATATGTTGGGGAATTCCCCTTGAGGAAGGCATTAAGTTCTGGTAAATATGTTGATATAGTTGGCCAAAATCTCAGCATTTGCCTGATTGCTTAGATAATAGGCTGATACTGCAATGGTGTCTATAATTGTTGGAATTGCTGCATGTTCAGGTCCTTATAGTTTTAATTTATGTAGAACGCTGCCAAAAGATCAGCAAAGGTGATTTAAATTATCTGAATATTGGAACCCCAATGCCACAATTTTAATCAATAAAGGGTGGCAAAAGATTTAGCTTTCCACATTGCTTGTTATGCTCTGTATTGGCTTGTTGACACAAAGTTTGGTTGGGTTTGCTAAACAGTTGCACGGCTTGAGGGTAGGAGTACACAATGAGCTCAGCATTAGGATAATTCGATTTATGATTGGGTCAGAAACAAACCTTCAATGAGATTAGTTGGCTTTGGTTTTGGTTTGGCTAGCAAGGATTCCTGTTCTATTCTCAGGATTGACCTATTTACTCTAGATGCCTTTCTTGACTTGGTCACCTCTGAGTTGAGATGTTGCCTTTGATACACAAGTGCTAACTTTTGTTCCTTTTAAAGCAAAATAAAAGGTAAGGTTGTGCGCCACTAGGATCTAACTCTATCTTTGGTCCTTTTCTTCTTGTGCTGATTTATTATTTTTTTTTCAAGTCTTTCTACTGTCATTTAGCATTTTTATGTTTAGTTCATTCATAATAATATTTTCTTGACACCTTTTCATTTTTCAGGTTTAATATCTGTATCGTTGTTGTTCCACTTATTTGTGCAGGAGACATGTGCACATGGCAGTATCAGGATTGGTTGGGCAAGGTTGCTGTCAGGTATAAGATACTATCACATTGTAGCCTTTATTCGCCGGTTCTCTGTTTTTTAATTTATTTACTCAAAAACATCGGAATAGTTTGTAACCCTGATGGAAATAACATGAAAAAAGGTTCCTCTATCTCTTATTTAGCAAAGATAAAAGAAAGATAAAGAATAATAGGAAAAAGATAGAATTGAATATCTGTACAGGCATCTTTTTAAATTGCATGAGAAATAATAGAAGTGATTTTAAATGATTGATGATGGATAATGTAGATAATAAAGAAATACAGTGCAATTGAAATGGAAAAATTTTTTGGACATGAAATTGCACTGGCAGGGAGTGATTCCAAATGGGTCATTGACATGAAATTTGAATAAAGTAACACAACTGTTCTGTTTTTCATTGATGTAATACTAAGGCAACTTTTCCATTTGTCAGTGATGTAATACTTGGTAAATGGGCCCGTACATGTGTTTCAACATAGTAACACTATTAATGAAACTATCTGTGCATTTATTTTGGGAATTGTGTTCTTGAAACCACTGCTTTTGTTTAGTGTGAAAAGGCTCCGCAAAGATGCATCCTTATAGGGTATTAATCCTCGACCAGGGCAGTAAACCTCTTTGAACAGTGAGCTGGTGGCCAGATATACTCCAAATAAGTTTGTTTATTATTTATTTATTTAATCTTGTTTTTCAGTTCTCTTCACTCTCATATTATGCCTACTCCCTTTTCTGATTCACAGCTT